TGCAGTGGTCTGCCATGGAACTCGAAATATTGCAGAGGTATGCCCACGTGAACTTATTCAGTCCTCGAGATTGGTGCTATTATTTATTCTGTCCATCTTGCAGATGAGGCAACTGAGATTAAGAGAGGGCACTGTGACTAGGGTGGCATGGTAAGAAGCCGCAGTGTGACTGGAACTCAGGCCACCTAACTTCAGGGTCCACGCTGTGAGGACTCTGTGATTAGCAGATGGTAGGTGGGGCAGGGTCAGTAGAGAGGGGCTGGGGTCTCGGGGCAGGGCAGGTCATGGTGAGCCTTGTCCGTCCTGCTCTCTGTCCCAGGGCCATGAGACCTATGGGCATTGAAAGGAGGAAGGACATAATGGATGCTCTTCAGGAACAACGGTTATCTGTCAATGCCCAAATGCTTATCAGCTGGGCATGACTAGAATAAAAATTAGTCTCTGAGAAGGGATCAGTCTGTGGGTTTGGCTTCTAGAAGCACCTAGAAAATTTCCATAGGGGCTTCTGGTGGTCCCTCTCTTCCCGTGACACTGGTGTTGTCATCAAGGCATCCCTGGCTAGAGTGGCTCACCCTGGAAAGTCCATTCTTTCATGGAAGAATGTCTTTGCTGCAGCCAGACAGCCTCCTGAGCCGACGGGGAGGGAGACCCTGGCTGCTGTCCTTGCAGCTCATCACGTCCTGCGCCGTGAGGCTCAGCCGTAAATCACAGTGACAAATATGCCTGTAATTTACTCAGCACTTACTATGAGCCAGGCACCGTGCCCAGCTTTTTGAGTCATCATGTCATTTAACCCTCACAAAACCCTAGCAAGTAGGTACTATTATTACCTCCTCGCTTACAAGATGGCGAAACTGAGTCTCAGAGAAGTGGCATACTTGCCCACGCTCCAAGAGCTGGGGAGAAGCAGATGGGAAGGCACCGGGCTTGTAACTCCAGGCTCACTTTCTTGAACCCGCTACAGCTTGTACATCCCTGCAGCGTCCATCTCCCCTGGGGTGCAGGATTGGCCCCGTTTTATCAAGAAAACAAGGCCCAGCAGGTTAAGATCAGGTAGCTAGCAAGCAGCAGAGTCATCTCCAAGTTTGTTCTTATGAATCCAGCATCCTTGCTTCCTCCCGCTGGCCCGGCTGTCAACCAGGGCTGGATCTTTGAGTGCCCAGGGAAGGGACTTCCTGCTGCTAGCTGCTGTGGTTTCAGCTGGCAGGGGCCCGACCTTTCCAGAAGATGGTAATGATGAAAGTTATGACTGCAAACCCTCTGACCAACAACTGAGCAGAGCCTACACTCGGAAGTGCGGAAGGTCTGTGGGTCCCCTGGTCCATTTTACAAACAAGGTAACAGGTGCCAAGGAGTGGGGATGCTGGGTCTGAGGGCCCTGGGAAACCACCGAGAGCTTCTAGAAGACAGATCTTATGCACTATGGAAGGAGAAAGTATAGGCAGAAACCAAAGAGCAGGCTGAGCAGTAAGCTCCATGACAGCAGAAACCACCTTTCTGTTCTTTGACTCTCTATCCCCAGTGTCAGGCAGTCAGTAAAAACCTGTTGAATGGATGTGTGAATGAATGAGCCTGTTACAACTGTCCGGGAGAGGGTACAAAATATGGACAGGGAATTCAAGCACTGTTAACACTCAGTCTTGCTGTCTCTGGGCACGCATAATTAGGCACCCCACCTTCATCCCTAATAACCAAAGCATTTTACCACGCTGATAGAAACTCGGTACGTATCAAACACACATTATTCCATTCTATGGCTATATTTTATTCAGTCATCTCCTAATCTTGGCCATTCATGGTGTTTCTAGTAGACTGCTATAAAATTAGGCAGGAAGTGGATGGGGCTCTGGAGATAGGACAAATGGCTTTAAAGCCCAGCTCTTGTGTTTATTAGCTGTGTGACTGTGAGTAGATAACTTAACCACTTTGTGCCTCGGGTTCCATCATCTGTAAAATAGGGAAATGACAGCAGCTAGCTCCCAAGGCAACTGTGGGGGTTAAATTTGTCAGTGTGTGTGGGGTTGTTAGAAAAGTATCTGACCCACAGTGGCCTCGTAAACATTCCACCAGCCTATGTGACCAGTTTAGATGATTCCTTAGAACGCAGTCCCACAAGTGGGACCACTAGGTCAGCCTGCAGAACTATAAGGAAAGTGCCTTTGAAGATCCCAGCAGTGCTAAGGCCAGAGCTCTTTAGCCCTATTTCCTTAGCTCAAGAGCAAGGACTCGGAGGACCCAGATGGGGAGTAAGTCCACCCTACTACAGAGCACTAGTATGCCCACTGCCTCTGGCAGGACACAAGCCCCTTGTGCCCAGCTCACCCCAGCAGGCACCAGGTACCCCGAGAGAAGGCATTCTCCCTACTAAGCCCCCAAGCCCCTCAGCTGCACCCCACTTATCTAGGGCTTGCATTTTATTTTAAATTCACAACTTTGTATTATTTTTCCTTAAAGAGGACTCCCAAACTGTACAAGCTTCAGGCCCCACAGAACCAGAACTGCACCTACATATTCCACTGGTTTGTTAATGTGTCTGTTTTTCCCATTAGATTATTAGCATCTTGAGGATATAGCTCTTGTCCTATTCCGTTTGACCTCCAGTGCTCAGCAAAGTGCCAGGGACCTGGAAGTCACCCAATGAGTATTTGCTGAATGAACGAATGAATGAATGACCAGGAAGGAAGGAAAATCACAGCCAGATGGGAAGCGTTCTCCCTCTTCACTCCACTCATTCCATTTGGATCTGTCCTTAAAATCACCCTGTACAAGATAAGCCTCCCCCTCCGGCTAGCCTTCCAGATGCTCAAGTCTGCCCTCTCCCCTGTTCCTCCAACTGTTGCTCTTTTCTTAAAGGTTATCAGCACCAGCTCCTCACTGCCGCCATTTGAATATCTAATGATGGCCAGGATGTCCTCTTATCTAATCAGAATGCCCCAGCCTGCTGTCCTTCTCTGGGCCAGCTGATAACATTTCTGTTTGTTGGAGGAAATGCTTCAGTTCTGAGAAACAGTGTCCATGCTTGTGACTCTGCCGGGGAGGAAAACAGGCCTGGCTCTTAGCGGGAGGCCACAGCCCCCTGGAGGGGAGAAAATCAGTCCCTGCCTGTCCTTTGATCTACAGCCTCCCTGCTGTTATCTTCTATCAGCAGTGTGACTTGGTTCCAGAAACATCTCCTAGAGACCCCCTCATCAGCACACCCATGCTGTGTCCTCCCCCAGGTCCCCTGCCTCTGCCTCTCATATGTTTATTTTTCCCTGTTTGCTGGGCATTTCTTCCCCTTTCCACCCCTGGCTAGGACCTTTGTCAGACTACAACAGTGTCTGGCACATGGAAGGAGCTCGGAAGCATCTGTCGATGCCTGCATGAAGCCAGCATGATCAAGTGCATATTCTGCACGTGTTCTGCTAGGATGTGGGGATACAGATGTGTTTAAGTTAAGACCTTCACGCTGAAACAGCTCTCAAAAAACCCCGCTGCAAGAGAGGAAATTCTCCCTCTGCAGAGCAGCCCAGTTCTGTAATTACACCCTCGACCGGACCAAGGTCTTTGCAAGCACAGGACAGCAGCCCTCACCCCACAGAGACCCTCACATGCACACGCATGTTCACTCACTGCCACATGCTTCTTCACACACTTCCTTACAGGACTCCGTCAGAGTGATGCAGACCATACACACGGCTCCCAGGCAACGAAGGACGTGGTGTCCATCAGCATGTTCTGGCTGGCCTGCTGCCAGGACGCCCAGAGACCTCTCGTCAGTGAGGACAAACACTTCCCCCACCTCCTGCTCTAGCTTTCTCCTGGGACAGTGGTGTCTCCCTCGGCCTTTTGATCAAAAGCGGACAGGCAAAGAGGTGCTCCCTGTACACTTGCCGTTTTAATAGCACAAGTTAATTTCACCTTGCACAAGTTAATTAGCTTTTCAGAGTCCTGGTTTCATATCTGTACTTGGGCCACTGGGTTGATGTTATTATAGCAATGCCAGCAAGGGAAAGGGTCTGGAACCTGGCCTGATCACAGCGTAATGAACGTGGTGGCTGGTGGTGGTGCTGAGAGTGGGAGTGGAGTGGCTGTTCACCGTCACTCAGACATACATGAATCTCTCGAATGTTCCAGCATCATCAGTGTGAACTCACGGTGGTTTTAATATATAGATAGGTCAGTTTAGAAGTGATCTGGATGATACGTGTACTGTGGATGATGTGTACACCATGGATACCTCGTGCATGCACGTGCACACACACACACGCACACACTACCCAGATGGCCCAGAAGCAATGCTACCCTAGTAGCAATAAACACACTGAGTCACATGTTGGCTACTGAGCATGTGAAATATGGTAAGCATGCCTGAGGACTGAATTTTTAATTTTATTTAATTTTAATTAATTAAAATTGCAACAGCCCCATATGGAGCAGCTCCATGTGAACAGCTCAGCTCTAGACCAGGGTTGGCACACTTTTTCTGTTAAGGACCAGGGAGTAAATATTTCAGGCTTTGCAGCCACACTACACTCTCTGTGGTAATAACTCTGCTGTTGCAGTGTGAAAGCAGCCACGACAATACCTGAACAAATGAGCATGGCCGTGTGCCAACAAAGCTTTATTTAAAAATAGGCCAGGCCAGACTTGTCCCGTAGGCCACAGTTTGCTGATGCTTGCTCCAGGAAACACTAGGCCTTCTTTGGGGTGACAAGCACTTGTCATCAAATGATGCCCCCAATCCAGGTTTTTATTGTTCATGGAGCTCAAAAAGCTCTCCTCTTAAGAAAAAGAGAGGCTGCTTGATACTCAAACAGGTCGCATTTTTCCCCTGAGGGAGGATGTATTTCCCTTCTATGGGCACTCATCTTTATGGGCTATTTCTGGGAGAGGCAGGCCACGTCACAAAGAGACCAAGAAACAGGGAACACCTGCCCTACCTCTGCAAGGTAACCCACAGAAGAAACCAGAAAAGACAGCACACCCCGCCTCATGCTGGGGACAGACTAGTCACTTACCTCAAAAGGCTGAGTGACGTCCATCTCTGGTCCACTGCTGGTATTGTCCTGGCCAAAAAGCTGAAAGCGTTTGTTTACTACAGCTCTTGGAGGCACTAGATCCCTCTCCTTGGCATTTCCAGTTCAGGAAGTTGGGGTCTGAAGATGGTATCAGCTAGAAGGGAAGAGGACAAACGTCTAAGTCAGTGTTGACATTTAGTTCATCCACTGCCTTTTTAAGATGACTCAAGATAATGAAAAGACATTCACTCACTCACTCAATTATTTATACATCAATATTTTTTAAACAAGCACCTGTTCTGTTCCATGCACAGCCTGCCACGAGCCAGGACAGGAAGCAAGTAAGCCATAACTTCTGCCCTCAAGGAGCTCAGCCTGGCAGAGAAAACAGACAAACACAGAAACAGTTCAGGACAATGCGATACGAGGAGGTGAGCGAGCGACACTGAGGGGAACTGAGAAAGAAACGGCCAAATCAGTGTGGAAGAAGAATTTAAAGAGGAGGTGATCTTTTCAGCAGCTCCTTGAATAAGGTGCTAGTGAGATCTCCTTGGTAAAAACACAAAACTTGGGGAAAGTGTCTCCAGGGACAAGGAAAAAGAAATATGTAAGATGTGAATGTATTAATAAAAGCGTGAGATCAGGGAGGAGGGATAAATCAGGCTGAGACCACTAAGAAAGGGCTTCTGAAGGCTTCTTCGGAGAGTAAGACGAGCAGCAGGAGCTCTCAGCTCTGGCTGGGCCCCGAGCCCTGAGACGTCACACCGCGTGTTTCCTCATCCGATCCTCCCCTGAAATCACCGAGGTGCTCCCACTGTGTCCCATACAGCAGCTGGGCAGCAGAGGCTAGAGAGCTTATGTGAGTCAACTTGCCCAGGATGACAAGGGCAGTAAGTGGCCGGGAACAAACTACGACAGAGAACATCCCTAACCATTTGTGCAGCAATGGTTCCAATTTGCCAGGCCACGTGCATGCACGCCCCTCTGCATGTGGCTTTGCCTGCCCTTCCAACATGAGGTAGAATCCATTTCTCTACTCTTTGAATCTGAGCTTGGCCATGTGACTTACTTTGGCCAATGGCACAACATGCAAATGTGGCACAAATGAAGGCTTACAAAGTGCTTATGCCTAGAAGTTCCCCTCTGGCTGCTGGGAATCATTCTACAGCCACAGTAACGGGCCTGAATTAACCTCCTGCAGGAGGAGAAACCACCCAGAGAGAGGCATCCCAGCCGCAGGCTTGTGGGTTGGGCCATCATAGGCAATCCAACCCCAGCCAAGCTCCAACAGGACCAGAAGAAATGCCCATCAACCCAGAGTCAGGAGAAATAATAAATGCTTGCTGTTTTAAAGCCCTAAGATTGGGTCTGTCTGTTACGCAGAGAAAGCTAACTGATACAATCACCAAGGTATCTTTACAACCCTGGCAAAATGATAACCTTGCTTGTTAGGAAGAAAGGGCTGAACTTCTTCCAAACATGTTGGTGATTGTCCAGAGATAATGAGGGCCAGAAGGTACGGCCTTGGGCAAAAGGTGGAGTGGGAGATTTGAGAGCTATTCTAGAGGTTAAAATCAACAGGATTTAGTGACTGACTGAGCCCAGAGTTATTTAAAGGTCTGTGTCTGTCTGGCTCTGGAAACCATGTGTGCTGTTGACTATAAACAGATTCCACTCGGCGCCTGCTGATGGGGGCAGGATGTTTACAAGGAAGAGACAGGAAAGTGGCCAGAGTCTGAGCAGTTAGGGCTCAGGGGCTGGGAAAGGAAAGCTATAGGAAACTCTTCCTTTTTAGTCCATTGTCTGAAATGAGAATTAAGGCAGGTGCTCACTGCCACAGCCTCCTAACTGGTCTTGCTATTACCTCCTCCTCCAGAGCCACCCCCTTCTCTTAGCAGGGGCCAGTGGGATCCTTATCAATTGTAACTCAGGCCTTCCTCCCTCCCATCACCACCGGCATGTCTACACTGCTTACCGCTTTGTCAGCACAGCCCAGCACACCGCTTGGCGCGTGGGAGAACGTCGATTGCTATTTCTTGAATGAAAGAGTGACCAAAACAATTCAGGTATCACATTTCTAAGAAGTTTTCTTTGATACACCCCAACTTTGGGTTAGGGGCCCTCCCTTGGGGTGCCTATGGCTTCATTCATGTGTTTATTCATTCGTTCTTTCATTTAGCAAGAACTTACTAGGCACTAGGCATCACCTGAATCCTACCGTGAGGTGCTCTCTCTAGACCAAACCTCTTAGGGGTGGGGAAGGGGGGCTGTGTTTTACTTATCATTAGATGTCCCCACCCTCATCTCCAGTGGCTATTGTATGAATACAGCAGGCACTAAATGATGGCTGGTGAATCAATGAATGAATGGGTGAACAGCAGATGAATCTCAGAGCATCAGTTGGGATGTGGCTGATTTATAAACTTAGCAGGAGCCTATAACCAAGTCTGAGTCTTATGCATGCTGCATCTCACTAAACAGTTGATAATCATCGCAAAAAACCTGCATGTACGTATGCATATGCAGGGGTATATACTGCAATTGCTCCATACCGTAAGACATAAGGGAGAATCTATGAATTAAACTAAACATGGAGGCAGGCTCTCAGCTGAGCCTCGGATGTCCAACTCTGTAGCCTGGCACCTGCAGCCACCTGTGATCTTCGATCAAAGCCTAAGACTCTTCTTCCTGGGGCAACGTGTAATCCTAAACCAATTCTTTCCCTGGTCTTGAGTTGGCTTTAAAAAAATAAGTTGGCCATTGTGTTGGATCCCAATCCCCAACTGGCGAGCTTGCAATCTTAAACACTAGACCCCTGGCCCCCATGTGGCTTGCCTGCTGCAGCCGCGGTTTCTCAGCCTCTCGACTATAGCACAGGGGCGTTAAACATACAAGGAAGGCATTTACGCCACTGCATTTCTACCAATGATCCCAGGAACAGCCTGGTGCTACTTAGATGTCCCTTGCTTTTTGGTCTCAACATGACCTTGACCACCTTTCCTGAAATGCCATGTCGAATCTGTCTTCTCACCCATGCCCTGTTGTCATGCTTCTTTCTACACTGGTTCTCCACTTCCCCAACCCTTCCAAGACTGATTCCAATTAAAAACAGCTGAACTCTCACCACCGAAGCATCCGTGAAGTGTGTTCATGCACATGCGCCACACAAGGAAGACAAATCAGACATAGTCCCCATTTGGGGAGGCCCAGAAAAAAAAGCTCTTGTGACTCACCAAGATCAATCACAGTTAAGGAAAACAAGGCCTGGAGAAGTGGCTCCTCCACCAGAGAGGTGGACAGCAGCACGGCTGGACCATGGGCCCAGGACCCTAGACTCTAGGTTCAGTGTTCCCACAACCAGGCTGACCTCCTCTCATCCTACCCAGCCACTCATCCCAACATTTCTATCCACCCGACTGGCAGCCACTAGCCCCAATGCAGGACCCAAGCAGGGAATTGCTGGGCTAGGAGACTCAGAGGCAAGCAAGGTGTCTACCAGCTCTAGCTAGAGCACAGATTAGGACGAATTCCAGTCAAACAAATCACAATTATACACTTATTTTTCCTGTTCTGGATCCGTAATTCCTTCCTTCTCTGTCTTTGTTAGTGCACCCACCATTCACAGCCCCCATGTGCCATCTGAGGTTCCTTTCTACTGCACAATATATTAATAATACAATAAATCTCATAAGAGATTTTGTTCTCCAATTTTGTGTCTTCTCTGGGTAGAGCAGTGAAATGGAAGTAAAACTTGACATCAGTCCTGGAGGCAAAGAGCCAGTTTGCTTAATAAATCATAGCTTTTCTCCTCCAAGCGAAAAACGATCATCTGAATAATTGTTAACACTGGGTCTGGCTGAATACCATGGCTGCATTTTTAAATTACAGGAATCTTTCCGAGGACCGTGGGCATGTCATGTTCCAAAACAGTGCAGCCTGCATCTAGGTGTACTTGCAGGGGAGGCTGGACAAGTCCAGCTGTGTGAGTTTAGAAAAAAACAGCCTTTCTCTGGGTCTCACTTTACTCACTGGTGAAATGGAAACTATCTGTTTTAATTACACTTTGCAGGGTGGTGCTAAAACACAAGTGAATAAAAAACAACACGAAATCACTTTGATAATAATAAAGCAAAACTAGCAGTAGTAATAGCAGATAACATTTTTGAAGTGTTTACTAGCACTTTGCTAAACTAAGCCCTTCGTACTCAAAAGCTCAGTTAATCCCCACAATGGTGCCTGGATGTGTCTACTATTATTTTCATCATTTTAAAGATGAGTAAATGGGGGCTTGAGGACATTAAGTGACTTGCTCAAGGTCGTATGACTAGTAAAGATTGGAGCCTGAATTATAAACTAATTTCTAGCTCGACTCCAGAGTCCGGAACTAACACAGTTTACTTCGCATCAGCATTTACGGAGCCTCAGCCTGGGCGGTGCCAAGCACTGTGCTCTGCCCTGGTGGGGACAACAATACACTCTCAGGCTCTGCCCTCAAAAAGCCCACCATATGGGGAGGGGGACGCAGGCTCACAAGCAAGGAATCGCACCATTCTGTATCCAGTGGAAGATCGTAAATGTGCGAAACATTGGCTTCGTAACCTGAATTCCTGTCCGGAACATGATGCTCATGGAGAATGAGATCAAGACTGAGACTGTCTGGCCAGATGGGTTTCCAAAGGAGACAGGTGACCCAGAAGTGAGAGGGTGCAAGGGCAGACAGAGAAGCTGAGCGAGGAATGGAGCAAGGACCCAGCAAACCCAGCCTGGTGTGAGTGCTGCAGTGTCCACAGCAGGGCTGCCGGCAGGGCTTTGTGTCCACAGCCGGGTTTAGGGGCAGACGTTCCGGGTGCAGGAACCAGGAATGACACGGCTACTGCGGACGGTGTGAGGAAACCGAGCGGAGAAGCTCAGAGGATGACCCTCTTCGGGACACTATTGCATGTCACTCCCTGGGGACCTGGGGCTGAGGAGGCCAGCCCGCCTGGGCTGGAAATGAACGCGAACAGAACTTGGGGCAGGACGACACATGTGCTTGTCGGGCTGGGAAAGCTGTTCTCTCTTGTAACCTCTCTCTCTGAAAGGGGCTCAACCCATCAGATTCCTCCTAAGAAAGTGGATTTCCGAATTCGAAGGCTAACGCTGAGGCTGGTTTGC